ATACGATGGGGACAAAGAGATATTTTCCTTAGCTTATTACATATGCGATCAGAAGAATTTGATCAATTGGAAGTGGTTCGTCCAAGGTCTGTGATCCATACTTTATGAGAGGCCTGATCTATATAATCCTCCCCACCAATTGGTTATAATTTTAGATGCTGACAAAGGAATTAAAGAATCAGTTTAAGAATATTTTCCAGAAGCTCTACACTCTAGATGTGTTCTATGTCTCGTTAAAAAATTCAGGTTAAAGCTAAAGGACTTGGGCATGAAATCAAAGGATACTCATTTTTTGGAGAATTTTCTCCAATCTGCTTGTTATAAATACCCCATAACAAAATGAAATGTTTATATGAAAGAAATATATGATATTGATCTAAGGACATATAACATTGATGTTAACTACTTTTTTAATTAGTAGGCAAATGCATACTTTCCTGGAATTAGGTAAAGTTATACAGAACATGTTAGCTTTGATGAATTAACAGTTAAGCTTTGCGTCATAACGTTAATTTTTCTCATAACTATTAACTTTCATAACATAACTGTTAACGTTTAAAGTAACTATTAACTTTCAACCTAAAACTATTAACTTACATTATATAATTGTTAATCGTCCATTGGATCTCTGTTAACTTACATTGTATAACTGTTAACAGTCAACCTACAACTGTTAACTTACATTGTATAGCTGTTAATGTTCTTCTAATATTTTTTCAGGTATGGGCACTTAACATCTAAAGCAACAAGATTGCACAACTTACATCAAGATGCATTAAACAGGAGCATGATGGTGGTGGCATGTCAGGAGACAACAACAGAGATCCTGGAAGACTTGCAATAAGGAAACAGAAACCCATCTTTAATCATACTGTAACTGTTTACAAGTAAACTTTTAAGTTTGTGTCACTTGACATGCATTACTAACAACAGCAGGACCTACAAAATGTTTAGCATGTATCAGCCGGCTACTCATATATAAATTAACAAACAAAATCAACAAGCTTGCACTACTAACATCGTTGAACAAGGTTATAATTAGCTTTTCAGAATAGAAGGAATAGATTGCTTGTAGGATGATACTCTCAAATGCATCTCGACTTTCCTGCTCTCGAGTTTCAGTGCATTACTGATGCTGCAAGCTCTATTTCTGCTGCTGACGTCTATCATCACAGGGAGCTATATTTACCCGTTCATTCTGTACATGTACAATATAGCTGTCACATGTTCTTCCCTTAACTTTGCACACAAATCATTAGCTTCCACAAGCCATCATAACCCGAGACACGACAGACTCCAAGGGCTCAATACCTGCAGCCTTCATCAGATACAGAGTCTTCTCAGCCTCTGTGAAGCACCCATTTCTTATATAGCTAGTAATCATAGCATTCCAACAAGCAACATCTTTTTCCTTGTTATTTTTGCCACAAACAAACTCAAATGCTCTCCTCGCATCATCCAACAGCCCAAATCTCCCATACATATTCACGAGACTCGTACCCACATAAAGATCACACTCCAATCCTACTTTAATCGCACGTGCATGAACTTGTTGCCCACAAAATTTTCTCTTCCTCTTTGCACATCCACCAATAATACTCGAGATCGCACTCGAAACACTCTCATTCTTCTTCTCATCATCATCCAATCTCATCACACAAAACGTATCTCCAAAAACACAAAGTGCCTCCTTCAACCGGCCTTTTCTGCAGTAAGCCCGTATTAAGCTAGTGCAAGCTGTCATTGTTGCTGGTAGCATACTATCGAACACTTTGCGTGCACTCTCAATGTAATTGAGTTCCGCATACAGTCGGACCAAACAAGTACCCAATTCAGCCGCCATCGCTGTTTTTATAGCAAACCCATGTATCTGCTTCCCAAGACTCAATTCTCCGGTTTGACCACAGGATCTAATCATTACCGTGACGAGGACGGCGAGCGTATCGGTGGGCTCTACCGCAAAGGATTTCGACTCCATCATATCCAAAAACAACGCGATCGCCTCTCTACGATCTCCCCTATCAAAAGTACCACAAATCACAGTTGCCCATGAGCTCAGATTCCTCATGGGCATTCCATCAAACAGTTTTCGGGCAATCTCCGGCCGGTCGCACGCCGCATACATAAGCAACAGTCTGTTAGCAATGCCAACGAGGTCTCGCTTACTGCATCCGCTCCTCTTCTCCTTTGGCCTGTTGATGCGCGCGTGCACACGGGCACCCTCGACGGCGTCGCCCGATGAAGTGCACTCCTTTATAAGAGAGCTGTAAGTATCGGCGTCGACGGGGAGTTGAAGGGTGTCTAACAATCGAAGCACGTCGCTTGCTGTGGCTTTCTCTTCGGCGCCACTGTTGATGTTGGCGCTGGGCTTTGGGGGCTGCGGAGTCTTGTAATGGGGACGTTGACGGAGGATCGGTGAAGGGTTCGCTGAAGTGCAGGTGATCGTCCTGCTGATGCTGCGGTGAGCTCCGGCGACGGTGCATTTTAGTGGCGGTGGTTTTGTCGGGGTTTTTGCGTACATGATTTGGGCTGTTGATGGAGGCTGACGAAGGAGGCGCCTTTTTCATTCTGCGGTGAGCTCCGATAATCTTCACATAAAATCGCACTAGAGTTCCGATTCATCACTAATCAGAGTGGCGCAGCGGAAGCGTGGTGGGCCCATAACCCACAGGTCCCAGGATCGAAACCTGGCTCTGATAGTTGCGAGCAGAGGGCAGGCTTCCATCAACCGCCCATTTTTTTTGGTTAATTTTGCCTTTTTTACTTAATTCATTGAAAATTTTCGCCCCTAATTTCTTTCGTCCAAAGTTCCGCTACAACCACAACCAAACCCTAACTCCGATTCAAGGTACTTCTGCTTTTACCTCTGTTTATGTTACCGATCATCGATCTATTTATGCATCGACTCCATTTTAACCTAATTACGTACATAATCGCAATGTACTTTGATTTAATTACTCAGTATTTGATCTAAACATTGAATCATACTCTCTTCAGTGATCTGCTTCTTCCTCTTGGGTGAATCACGCTTGATGACTTTTGGGTGAAGACCAACCAAATTTCATTATGCGCTTGAGATTTTTCAACTTTAGTGAAGTATATTTTCAGGAAAATAAAATTCCTTTTTTGCGAAAACAAAAATGAACTCCGCTTGCTTGGAGATATATGAGTGTTCAATGTGTAAAAATATCAGCTATAACAAGGCCTATCCAAACGGGCCGACCCGATCTGGCCCAACCTTAATTTCTGTGTTCGGGTCAAGCAAAAAGCTCCACTCAGACATTCGGCTCAGAGCAGATGAGTGCTGAGCATCGAGCCAACCCAGACATTCGGTTGAGATGATAGACCATGTTTAGTTCCATACTCTTCAAATAATCTTCAAAAATAATATTTAAATGATGACTAAGAGCAGTAATAGACTGGCCACTATGACTTTCTATTATTATATTATCATACAAATAATTCAACAAACTTTGAAGACCAAGATCTTTCAAGCATGGATTGATAAGAATCCCCAAACAAAAAATAACATGAATGAATCTAAAATACTTAATAAATTTGCTTTCCATTTTAGAAATCATATTTAAAAAGTAATCATCCATGCGATAAGTATTAAACAAACTTTGAACATTTAAAGCTTATAGAGTGGCTTATGTAATAGTTAGATAATAACAACAAGATAATAACATAGTAGCATTATAAAAAAACTTATATCATCTATTTTACACAACTTATAATTGTCCATTCATCATCGGTTATTCCATACATATTACTAGAATTAGATAAGTATTAGAGAGAAGAATATGAGTTTTGAATGGGAAAAATAAATGAAAACTCCTTCTATTTATAGAGGCAGCCCGTTAGTCCAATGGCCGAAATACCTCTAAATTTTGATATTTTTTCGATCATTTTAAGGGTATTTTGGTCATTTATAGCCATTTTGACTATTTTGGTTTGATCAAACACTGGGTTAGGTCCAGGTCGCCCGGTGCTAATGGCTATTTTTCTAGCCCTAGGACCGGGCCGGATTCGGGCCACCCCAGTCCAATTAGGTTTCTAGTCGTTGGAACACACGAGGACATGTTTTTAAGCCCAACCCGGTCCCAACGGTTAATTAGGGAGCCACTGACTCGGTTCGGATCCTGAGCCGGGTTTCTCAACCGAACCTCTAGGACCGTGGTCAGACCAGGCCTGGGTTGGGCTTCAGCTACATGACCCTGGACCAGGGGCCGAAATCAGGCCAGGCTCGGCCGTCGGGGTTTTCCCTGGGCCGGGTTTTGGCCCCGACGGGTCCAGGCCAAAGTCCGAAAGGACAGGTCTAGCTACAATGCATGTGGAGGGTTTTTATTTTATTAGATTGCGTCATAGTATTGCACCGTCATTTTCATGCTTGTATCAGCAAAATTTAGATTTTTTTTTTTTGAAAACCAAAATATAGGAGTTTCTTATATTTCTAGTAAACCTTATGGCTTATTCTAGTAAACGTTTTTGCGTTCTATCTGACCAAAGTGTTTGGTTCCATTAACGATTCTTTTTCCCGAAATGGATCCTTCGTGCAGTTCTATTGGCCTATAGAAGTCTCCAAGAATGGAGATCGATCAGAAGAACTTGTAACAACCACTTGACCTTAAATCCCTAGTGCTCCTTCAAGGTATCTCATTTCTTTACTTCGAACCGGAACATTCTTTCCTCTTGCTAGTTTTCATGCACGCTGCTGAGTCCAGTTCAGTTTCTGTGTTCTCCATCACATATAAATCCTTGCAGAGACCTACTGGCTGCTGCTTTTTCGACGATCGAATGCAGGCTACGTCCAACTTGATTGTAAGAAGCGTGGCTTGTACTGGACTCTTAACGTAGTTTAGTTTACATAGTACGAACATCGATCTCTGTTTTCTGAACCAGACCCTTAAACAGGAGTTTGTGTAACTGATTTGTGCAAGTTTGTCTCTCACTGCCCACCCATCTCACTGCAGAACAAGAATGCTCGTCATACTAATTAATTTTGCAACTATCTAGATGTATACATTCACAAAGGCAGTACTTCACTCCTTTAGGGAAAAGTTTGTAGTATATACACAAATTTCACCGAATCGAAGACGTCTTGTATAAATCAGTTGGAGAACCACATCAATTTTGCTTTTGTAACCATTCTTGAATTGCTGAGAGGAGGGCACGGTTGGGGATAAGATCGCGGTGTGTAAGCTTGAGATTAGTCATTGGAGACGTATCGTGCCCACTTTCGAGCCATCCTTTTATAGCTTCGGCCTCATACGTGAAGCCATCTGCTGCTATCTGCGGATTCTTCATGATCTCCTGCATTTCATATGAAGTTCACAGTCATCCTTAAAAAAAATCGACATCTTACATGCATTTACTATTAAGTAAAAAAAAAAAACAACTCAGTATTTCCTATCAAAAGGACATAATTTATTTGTTACACAACGGTTGAAGTGGATTGAACGAGAGAATAAAAAGTTAAAGAAAACAGGGGAATGAGTGACTATTTGGTCAGAGGAACAATAAATATTGAACACTGATTGATGTGTTCTCTTCAAGTATTAATTTCTCTATTAAAGATAAAGCCGGGTTCTTAACTGTTCCACCTTCAGAATATAATGCTTAATGATCTTGGAAGCTAGAATCAGATCCGAAGTGAACACAAGAAATTTAAATTTGAGTAACTTTCATAAAACTACCATGAAATTTGGGGTTTTTCTCAGAACTACCATATACTTCTTCATAGAGAAAACTGCCATGAATTTTCAAACTTAAAGCAAAATGCCATTGACTTTTAAAGTTGTTATTAGTTATTAACATCTTGGATACAACGTCTGAGCTACCTTATTTGTATTATTGATCTACAAAGTTCAGAAGGGTATATGGAAAATATGTGAAGTTTACAAGGGCAAAATTGTTCAAAACATGTTATGTTCTTCGCACGTGACAACTTACCCTAACTGCCTTCAAACATGGTGGCCTAACGGAAAAAAACCGAATTCTCATAAAAAAGTGATAGCACGTAGGCTAGAAGATCTTTTACCTGAAATATTGGACACATGAAGTAGGAAGGAATGCAGTTGTTGCTCGATGGTGATCCCATCGACGAGGTAGCTTTCACCATGGGCTCAAGAACGCTCCAAGCATCTCCTTTCAGGTCTGGCCTTTTCTTCCTTTTGATCTCACAGCATCTCAAACCCAAGTTGGCCAATTGCTTAGCCTGCACTAAAGGCCAATCCCCTGCTGAAACATCTAGTATCTCATGCAACCGATCCCCTCCTACTGCATCTTTCACTTCTTTTATGATCCCCAGAGCAGGTTTCCCCGTTAGTACACGTAGCATTATGAGCCCAAACGAATAAACATCAGAGCGAGGCGTGAGCTCTCCACTAGAAAGGAACTCAGGGTCCATGTAGATAAGGGTGCCCTTAGGTTGAGTATGCTTGTAAAAGGTGCTGGTGGTGTTGGACTCGGCTAGAAACCGACATATGCCAAAGTCTCCAAGTTTGCTGGTAAAGTTTGAGCCGAGGAGGATGTTCGCGGGCTTTAGGTCTCCATGGACTACTACATGAGGCTTGTAGGAGTGAAGAAAGATTAGTGCAGAGCAAATCTCAGCTAGGATATTTGTGCGGACGTGCCATGGGAGGGGAGGAGTGTTGTCTTTGCACGCGAGGCGGTCTGATAAGTTTCCTTTTGGAAGGTATTCATATATGAGGGCCCAAGCTTCTGGGCATGTCCCGATGAGAGTGACGACGTGTGGGTGCCTCACCTTGCCAAGAATTTCAACCTGCAATGGTTGGAAAAGAGGAAGCCTTAGAAATTAGGACTATAATAACTTGGATATGAATATAACATGAAAAATTAAGGCCAGAGTTTCTCTTGTTGGGATTGTGCCTTTTATTCTTTGTATAACTTCATGAGAATTAGATAGGATTAGAGATCTATCATGATTAGGGGATTGAGTCTCATCATTGTTAAGAGTTTGAATCCTATTCTAATTAAGAAGTTAGGCTAGAGATAGGGTTTTGGTTTCCATATATATATCTCCTTCGCTATCGTCTGCCTAGCCGTGGCGTTTTCACCTCTCTTGTGTACACCAAGAAATATTCACCACCTCTAACATTAGAAGCAAATCAACCATGTTTATCTTTTCGAACTGAACCATTGCCCTGCTTGCTATCCTCAGACTCCACTTGCATCGCTCGTCTCAAATCATATCGGTACACCTCTCCTACTCCACACTACGAGCCAAATACCTCTATCTCCTCCATCATTTGGCTTAGGCTGAATATGAGCGTGTAGAAACGGTGAAAATGGCGAAAGAGAACAGGAAAAACGAAGCAGGAATAATTTTTGGTGCAGTTCGGTCGACCGCGGGCTTAGGTCCGGTCGACCGGAAACGTGCACATTACAGGCTGAGAAATCAGCGCTCTGGTCGGTCAACCGGATGCACATGCCTGGTCGAACGAACCATGTTATGTTTACAAGGTTAGTTTTTGATCCTCTGGCCGGTCGACTGCGACGACATATCCGGTCGACCGCGTTGCAGTTTGGGCCCTGTTTCAGTTTCCTGATTGGTTTGGGTTTCTGTTTTGATATAAATAGGAACACGTTTTCTTAGGGTTTTGAGGGGAAAATTTGAGCAGACATTGAGAGGGTTTTTGAGCACATTTGAGGGACAATTGGTGAGAGATTTGAGAGCTTTGTGAGATCCTTTGATTAGGGTTATTTGGTGAGATTATTGAGTGATTGTAATCTCTATTTATATTCTCTTTCTCTCTATTAGTAAAATCTCCCCCCTCCTTACCCTGTGGACGTAGGCACATTGTCGAACCACGTAAATTTATTGGCTTGTTGTTTGGTACTTGAGTTTTGGTTATTTTGATTACTTTCTTCTCGTTCGTTGATTTGTGATTCGTCCACTACGCACAACAAGTGGTATTAGAGCCCCAGACAACGCTTGGGGTTAAGTGGAGGAGTAGATCGCTTTGGAAGCTCTTCTAGGGTTTCAGTTAGAGACAAAGGTGAGATTTTTTATCATTGTGGATCTTGTCTTACATCGTGTGGTGGTGAGATCATTTGGTGAATCTTGTTAGGGTTTCAGTTGGAGGTAAAAAAAATTACCTTTTCTCAGTTTGGATCTATTTTCTTAGCTTGTTCCACATTGGTTTGTTGGTGGTTTGAGGAAGATGACTGAGAAAGAAGGTGCATCGGGTGTTGAGAGTGGTACTTCCGGCATGAAGACCATTCAAAGTTTGAATATCCATTTTATGGAAGACCATTCAAAGTTTGAATATTCATTTTACGAAGATAGATGTGGAGAGATTTAATGGTACAAACAACTTTGGTTTGTGGAGATGTGAGGTTTTGGATGCGCTGAACGTGCAGAATTTGGAGGATACTTTGGAGTTGAATGGCAAGCCGGACGATATAAAAGATAAGGTTTGGAAGAAAATAAATCGGACGGCATGTGGCGTCATTAGGTCTTGTTTAACGCAGTATCTAAAATATGATGTGATCAATGAGACTTCTGCAAAGAAGATTTGGGAGATTTTCGAAGGCAAGTATTTAATGAAGAGTATTGAGAATCGCTTATATTTGAAGAGGAGACTTTACCATTTCCAGATGAAGAAGAAAATCTCAATTTGTGATCACATGAACAACTACACAAAGCTTCTTACAGATTTGGCGAATGTGGATGTCATGATCGAGGATGAGGACAAGATATTATTATTGTTGAGTTCCTTACCTGATGAGGAATATGAGACCTTCGTTCTTATCTTAATTAATGGGAAGACATCCCTTTCATATAGTGAGGTTATCACTGCTCTTGTGAACTATTAGCTAAGGAAGAAAGACAAGGAGTCTTCAAATGACACAATAGCAGAGACATTGACCGCAAGAGGGAAAAATCCAAACCGAAAGAGTAAAAATAATAGGAAGTCGCAGTCTAGAGTAGGGCATCCTACAGTTGGTAAAGATCAGTACGCTTAATGTAAAGAGACTGATCATTGGAAGAAAAATTGTCTAAAGCTTAGCGAATGGATAAAGAATAAGAACAAGCAGAAGGGAAAAGAAAAACTACCAAAAGCAAACATCGTCAAATCGGATGGTAATAGTTCTGACTCATTTGTTTTTTCGCTTTCTATCAGTCCAACAAGTTGCTATTCGGAAGTATCCGAGTGGATGTTGGATAGTGATGTAACTTATCATATGTGTCCTAAAAAGAAATGGTTTTCCAATTTTGAGAAGCTGGATAGTGGTGTGGTGTACATGGGTGATAACCATGCATGTCAAATCCTTGGGATAGGTAAAATTTGCATCAAGATGTATAATAGGATGGTTAGAGAGATACATGGTGTGAGATATGTTTCTTCTTTGAGAAAGAGTTTGATCTCAAATGGAGATTTAGTTGCAGAAGATTTGAAAGTTCGTATTGAGGACATGGGTCTCAAGATTGTGAAAGACTCTTTGATTGTGATGAAGGGCGTCAGGAAGAATAACTTGTACTACTTGACTGGAAGTACAGTGATAAGTGGAGTGCTGACGACTTTTATTGATTTGACTAGACTGTGACATTTGAGGCTGAGACATTCAGGTATTGATTCCTTACAAGCTTTGGCAATGCAAAGATTGGTGAAAGGTGCATCGACCTGCAATTTGAAGTCATGTGAACATTGTGATGTGAGCAAGAAGACCAATGTGAAGTTTGACACATCTATTCACCGAGCTAAGGGCCTTCTAGATGTGGTTCATGTGGGCGTTTGGGGGCCTTCCAAGGAGGTATCATTGGGAGGTAATAAATATTTGGTTTCCTTTGTTGATGATTGTTCTAGGCATGTCTGAGTTGCAACCAAGTCCTGTTTGAGTGAAGTCCTAGTAGTCTTCAACAGGTGGAAGAAGTGTATAGAGACTAAGACAGACAGAAAGGTCAAAATACTCCGTTCTGATTTTGGTGGGAGGTACAAGAGGGATCCGTTTCTGCGTTTGTGCCAAGCTCAAGGCATTTTGAGACACTTCGATAGAAAGAGAACATTGGGGCAACTAAATGAGGTGGAAAAGTTGATGAATTGTGCCTTGCTGGAGAAGGTTCAGTGTTTGTTGTCAAACGGTGGTTTGCAGAAGAGTTTTTGGACTGAGGTTTTGACATATTCATGCCATCTTATTAACAGGTTGCCGTCCACTTCGATTGGAGGTAAAACTCCATTAGAAGTTTGGTCTTGTAGAGCTGCTTCAGATTATGGGTTGCTTTCGATATTTGGGTGCCCATCCTATTGTCACATCAAACATGTAAAAATTGATCCGAGTGTAATGAAGTTTGTAGTTCTGAGCAGTAATGTCACTTTTGATGAGGCTTCATGTAAAAATTGATCCGAGTGTAATGAAGTTTGTAGTTCTGAGCAGTAATGTCACTTTTGATGAGGCTTCGATGATGGAGCCTATTGATTGTAATGAAGTTTGTAGTTCTGAGCAGTAATGTCACTTTTGATGAGGCTTCGATGATGGAGCCTATTGATTCTCAGCAGGTGGAGAGTGTTGGACAAATCATAGATGTATCGCAGCGGGTGGAGAGTGATGCTACTTCACGTTGGGTGGAGATTACTCAACGTTCTCCAGATCATTCTGTATCGTTTGGGATTCTAGCTGATGTGACACAAATTGAGGATCATATAGTTGATATTGATATAGATGATGAGATTGAGGATCAAGAACCGGAGGGTCAGGTTTAGGATCAGAATTCGAGTGTAGCAGGTGGACACAGTTCAGATTTGGCTATGATCGTTGGCTCACCTCAGGTGGAGGTATTTGGTAATAGTGTTTCTTCTACATATAGGGTTAAGGGGTTAAGCTCCAAGAGAGAGTTGGTGTGGAGAGATGCAAGTTTGAAAGAGAGTTTGTCTTTTATTTTGAGACCATCAGGGGTGCTATCAGCTGCAGATTTGTTAGTATTGGCGAAGTTTACACCAGTTGCTTGATTGGCCCGTTTATGTGTTGTAAACTATTAGGTAGCTTGATTGGTGCAAGGGTGTATACAAGGCTAAGATTTGTCATAGATCGTTCACATTATGAGCACTTGGGTGCATGGTCTTGGAAGAAGACACTTGGTGACGGTCGTGATGTTGGTGAAGGATTGAGAATCCTTCAAGTTGATTGAGGTTGTTTACAACCATTTGGGTGAACTATGTGAGGCTTGATTCCTTGGACAAGAGGATACGTATGCAGTCAGTTTGATGCAGCCAATTTGATGAGTTAATATCGACAT